ACAAAACAATTTTGATCCAAGAAGCTAGATGACTTCCAAAATTAATTGATTTCAAATCATAACACAATTTTCCATAGAGATTTATTGACACAAAATGGAGATTTATAAAGGCCTTACCAGTCACCTGGAAACCGAAGACAGTGAGCTGTGTTTGCCTTGCCGTGCATCATCTTGTCAACTAAATCAAGAAACTATATCAGCTAGGAAACCATTTCTTGCTTACTCTGTAACATGCACTGAAGATGAAAGATTCTTTGAAAACTGGATATGAACTTACAAAAGTTTCCACATGATGAAGGAACTCTCCGCTGATCTCCACAAGGACAACAGGTAGGCTGAGAAGATATAATAGAAGGATTACATCCTGTGCTAGGATAAATCAATAAAGGAAAATTTCAATGGGAGAAAATATTGTGAAGTAGACCTTCCGGTTATCAGTAGATAATATGTTCTACATTAGCTGAACATATTCATTTGCCTTTTCTACAATACTCCTAAATACAGTTTTAAATGGTCGACTTCCACTTACCTTTAAAAATTCAATTTGAAAGACAGCTCTTAGGTATTATGATTGGCAGCAAATTTCCTTAGAGCTCTAATTATCAGTCATTAAGAAATTGGATATATCTCTCCTTTATTTTTCTTTGGCATGAAATTTTTCTGAAAAACCAGCCCAGATTGCAGATATAGTCATCATAAGTTTGGCAAGCTGATGAATGTATCAGTGGGTCATGTTCCTATAACAAGAAACAATTCTACCAAGATGAAGAAACAATTAAAAATCTCATGTTACCTGAGTGTTCTCGATAATGTGTCCGTTCTCATCTCTCAACCTATTACAAACATCAAGAAGTTACTGAGCTGACACAGAAAGCACTTTCGAAAAGTTAGATATAAAAAAAAATACAAACATTTAAGCCTTAAAAAGTGTTAGCGGAGGAGTTGCTGGAAAGATAGCATAAAGATGAAATGTCTGTCAAGAAGCAACGTCAGATCCAAACTTCTACAGACAGGGAGACATGAATATTGGTCTAAACCTAGCATACTCACACCATAGAAAAAAGGAGGCAAATTCAGATATTCAAAAATAAACCACAGGCCATCAATCATTTCTCAAGATTATATACCTGTTCAGTTGGAGGAAATTCAAAGGACGAATACTAAGATGAAGATACTTAGATGGTTGTACTCTTCTATCTATCAATATGAGTTTTTCTGGCAGCTAATGAGATAGTTATAAATTGTTATTTACTTGATAGTGGCAAGTCTGGTCATACTAAATTGAAGAAGTATGTGGAACACTGTGGTGTGAGCGTCAATTAATTTCTGTGACCAATATCACGGAACTATCTCAAATCCACATAGGCCATCCTTTGCAGCCACAGTTATCTCCTTTTGCATTCAATCTGATTCCCATCAAATGGTGCGGATTTAGGAGGAAACGGAATCCTCTAATAAGATTGGAAACACATCCTCAACACTTCAGGCTACTTAACTTATCATCCTTATAAGCCTTCAATCATCATGGCTCCTAGAATTTCCACTAAAAGGCCTTTGGTACTAAGCTCTTCCGGAGCTTGATTATAGATTATGCTACTGATGTATAAGTGTGAATCCATGTGATGTCTACACTCTAAATACATGCTGTAATTCATCCATTATCTATAAATAGAACTTAAAGTAAATGCAGGTTTATGTCAATCATCAAATCCATCTTAAACACCCGTTTGGTTTAGGAACTGTCTCTTTAGCCAATCGGATCTACCGATTCATTTTCTCTATCAAATACAACAATGGAAGGCTATAAGGCACAGCTGGCTTGGAGACAAGTTTGCATCTTACCTCTGAACACGGACCGCTGAGGAATAACATTTTGAGGCAATCAAGGACTAAAAATTTTATCAAAGTTTCTGGTCGTATTTATTTATAAAGTTTCTGAATTTATCTATGTTTAAGGCAGTGAAGCGCAAGGGGAACTATCTGCCTAGATTCCCTAATAATTATTTTTTCTTTTGGTATCCCTTGCATATCATCTTCGAGATTTCTTAGGAAGATGGAAATTGGAGCCAAATTTGGACTTACCCATAAGATAGAAAAGTCAAAGCTGATATTTATGAAATTCAATAGCAGAACTATTTAATCACCGGATACTTTGACTTAACCAAATTCAGATAACATAGAATTACAAACAAAGATTGTTGATGAAAAATGAAAAATCGCCTAAAGTAAGTCCAATTTGGAAAAGAACACTATCAAAATGAATTACCTCTCACATATTTTCACCCTATCTGCCCCAGCATCTGGCTCACACTTGCGTGTATTGACATAGAATTCTTGTGGTTTATAAGCAACATCCTACACGGGAAAAGTCAATTGAACCGAGAGAAAGCAATACCATGGAATTAAACTCAAACAAGGATAGGACGTGTTATCTTTATTTTTGCTTTCCTTTTCCAACTGTCCTACTATTTGGTGGCCTAAACAAGTTTCTGTACAAGACTATAGTCCTTAATACTAGGCCACAATAGGCCTTATATAACAATGACTCCGACGTACATATGCAAGTGTTGTTCCACCATTTTGGCAAATTAGACGAGTCAATTATTCGTCATAAGAGAAATAAAAGTGTACAGGATAATAAATATAGCAATAGAGAAGCTTCTTCAGGAATAAGTGCTACCAAAAAACACGAGTGCATTTTGGGGGAATTACATGGATCACATATATGGAAGGATTGCTTGGATATAGACATTGCTAAACAAAAATCTATCCGATGGACTGTAATATACACACGACAATCAAGTTTGCTTAAAGATGTAATCTAGGGGCCTCCAGCTTCAAACTGCTAACATAGTATAAGAAAATAAATTATTCCGAAAATTCCAGCGAGTTATCACAACTACTTAATATTTGCAGGATGCAATTCAGAAGCATTACTGAATGAAACAAAGTTCCACTCACTTATTCAACAGCAAAAACATACTTCCACAAACATTATACATAAGAAAGGAAAGGAGACAAATATTTGACAAAAATTCCATTAACAAAATTATTTCAACAATTCCAACAGCTTTTTGAGAATTCAATTCATTTAACTATATTCAAATTTTAACCTTTTTTCAGATTCAAATTTTAACGTTTGATGCAGAGCTCCTCTATCAAACTTAACGTTTCACTTATCACTTGTATATTTTCTTCCACAATTACTAAAAAAATACAAAGGTCCAAACTCATTGTCCAGTCAAACACAAAATGTTTTAAAACGTACTCGTATATATGTCAACTCATACAAAGCATATGCGGCGGATTTGTTAATGGTAACCACCGGCGGAACTCGAAGTGTTCGCATGTTAGTGCTAGAGTTATCTTCCACTTCAACTATCTCTGCCACCAATGAAGCCTCATTTCCACTCTAGAATAAATAAACTCAGATATCAAACTCGCATTTACGTATAATTCGCTAATCTACAACAATCGATTAATAAATCAGAAGTTTCTAGAAGAAGATAGAGAGATTCATTACCGATTCACTGGGAACAGCCAAGTCGATGATGATTTTGTTGGTGCAATTTAGGCGATTCGAATCGGAAACTTTCTCGCATTTTTGAAGTTTCGATTTCGAGAGGATTTGTACTGCGGAAGCGTATTGAAGAAGAAAGAACAGAGTGAAGAGTATAAGAAGAACGAGCGGTTTCATTGTGGCACTTTTGATTTTTGAGTGTTAAAATTGTGAAACTGGCAATTTTCAGTGCATATATAGTGTAGTGGGCACGGTTTTGGCGCGCCTGTAACTGCACCCAACTGTTGGGTTTTGCAGGTAGGCCCTCTAAGATTCCAGTAATTCTAAAAGTGTCATGAAAAGCCTTTTGTATCTTCTATCTTAAGCCATAACTGAAATTATGGCGTTTAATTTACTACTAGTATAGTACCCGCGCAGTGTTAGAGAAAGTATGTATAAAGTGATGATGGCGTAACAATATTAAGCGACATACGACCATGATGTAGCAACTGCGTGTGGGGGTACTATTTTATACGACCATGACATACAACAAATTAAATCTGAACGTACATATTAAATCAGAAATATTCATATAATTAATGAAATTTGAAGCTGCCTCATCCCTCATATGTGCATGTTGAATTTGGTTCACTCAAATTTGCTTTTGTAGCTATTGAGACAGAATATGATTTCATTAGTTACACGACTTATTTTGTTTCTTGAAAAGAAGTTTCTCAGGTTAATGATTTGAATTTCCGGACTTTTTATTTTCATGAAGAGGTTAGCAATTACTATCTTTGTGTCTCATTCGCTTAACCTTTTTCATTTGGTCTTTTCCGTAGTATACATTTTTCCTCTACTCTTTTTATAAGACCATAGTTTGTGCATCTTATGTATTTTAGGAGTGCCATGGCTTACTGGTTGACTTTGAGATGCAGTGCTGATCTATATATTTCATTACTTCAGGCAGCAGGTAGGAGTGGGGATACTATTTTATACTTAAGCTTTCATTACTGGATTGGTGCTGAACCTGTTTTTGAAAGTAGCATCATCAAATACATTTTGATTCAATACTATTTATAGGTTGACATGCTATACTGTACAGTCTCCCAATTCAGAACTTGAAAACAGAGCTAAAACTAACTGCTCTTATGACAGTGAAGTGAGAGTGGAAGGCTTGGAGACTCTTGACTACCTTGACAACTTGTGCAACAGAGAACGTTTCACTGAGCAAGGAGATGCTAAAATGAGATAAAATAGTAAGGTTAACCAAATAACAATAAACGCAGTTTAATAGTCAGACTTTACTACCAGAAAGAAACATTAAATGGTTGAAATATGTCGTCCATAAGTATAAAATTTGTAAACTAACTAAAACATAAAAGTGAAACAGCATAAATAACTTGAAATGATTAAAATACATTGTTCATAACTAATAAAACTACTAATAAGACTAATGAGATAGTTCTTGGTTTCTCCAAGTGTTACATTTGCAAACACCTTATGCTGTTTTCTTCTTCTTAAATGGTCTTTTGATTTTATTTCCTGACAACTGTGTATTCGGATCTTCTTCAACCAGTGTTGCAACATTTGGTAAACTTAGCTTGGCAGGTGTATTTGCAATATCGATTAACTCATTCTCTTCAGTAGAATCCTGCATATACATAAAAATCAAAATTGTGAAAATAAGTAGGGAAATGACAGTTTGTATATCTTTATGAATTTATAACGGGAATTTTTTTTATACATGACTCAATAATGTAAAAAAAATAATAATAATGAGTTTGCAACTTGCTATAGAATAGAAAAAGTGAACATTCACAACTTTTAAAGTTATTAAAAAATCTCCAGATGTGTATATTTATTCGGAAACATATCATTCTAGATGTAAGTATGTGTCATCTTAAAGGAACAATTAAAAGTGAGCGATGTATTTACCTTGCATTCCTTGTCTCCATCAAAGACTTGGTTATTATTGAAGTCAGGGTCATATCACAAAATGATAAATAAATGAGTTTGGAATTATGATTCAAATAATGCAATTTATAAGAAATTACCATATTAAATATGTTATGAAGTTTTTAACCAAATATGACATACAGTTAAGTCATTTGTAGGTGTATCAGGACTATATTTCTTTATCAGTTGCTCCTCATCCGTAAGCTTCACAACACTATAAATTTTCTTTTGCAGTTGAATGTTCTCACTCTTGACAATAACCTTAAACATGAGTTTTCTTTGGAGAACATTGTTCAGCTCTACTGGATATGGATACCTATCAACACCTCCAGTATTCTAGAATGACATTTTGCGTTAGAATTGTTAAAAAAAGAAATATGAATATAATTAGTTAATATACCTCAAGAAATCCTTCCTTCAATTCTTTTGCGGATTTGCCTATGAGAAACATGGCTTCGCGGTCCCAAAGCAATAGGGAAATAGATCCTGTACTATCCATTACCCTAACCTGAAGCTTGTACCTAATTGCACAGCAAACATTTAAGATATAAATGTACATTTTTTATGAATTAAGCAAATAGAGTTGCTGCTTTTACCTAATAAGTGCTGAGTAATCTTCATTTTTACATTTGGGGTTTGGGCATTGAAAAATGTTTCCTACTTTATCCACCTTCTTTTGACACTTCTTGCAACTGACATACGACCATCCTTTTCCAAGTTCTAAATTTTCTATACTTGCAACAATCCAACAGGGACCTTCCTGTTTAATAAAATGATTAAACTTTAGGTCGTGATGTATACAGAGAGGGTATATGTGCAAATCAAAACTAATAATAAGTAATTTGCATCTTTATATTACAAAAATTAAAAATTTCAACCAATATGTCATATGAGAGATGAAGATATAAAGTAGGACATCCATAAATTAGCATGGACAAAATGCTTAAGAAAATTAGAATATATTGTGTGTAAAACGGGACTGGAAGATTGCATAAAATGTGGGGCAGGGGCAGACCAACATATATTATATGTTTGTGTTTCCATCTAGTAATGATCATATATTCATAATAATTTAACTTTTTCATGAAAGATCTCTTTAATTTATAGCAAATATACATTATATTTGTGTTCTTATGGAATATCAGGTATCCAATTCAGTGATAATGAATAAGTTTAAAGTACATTATCAATATGATAAGATTGGTTACTATATTTCCATGACATGTGTTAGAAATATTTAACGACAATTTAATGTACTAAAATAGGAGAAGCAAAGGGTGAAATATAAGAACAAAACAATTGCCCAAAATATGGTCTTCTAAAAATTCAAAGAAATAAGATAAAAAGAGTTTACTCACTTGCATGGACTCCACTAATTGGGCAATTGTTTTAACTTCAACAATGCCCTTGTCTAACTCATCCGAAACGGAGTAACTTTGTTGAGAGATGGTTGGAGTCAGCCTTTCAGAGCAAGTATCCCGAACAACATTTAATCTATATTTATAAATAAGGATTACAGTTAGAACTATACGTGAAAAGATAGATATGAGGGTAGATACATGATTAAATATATTTAACTGTGATTTAAACTCTTCCGATTGAGGAAATGTAGGATTAATCCACAACTTTGATGTATTCCAAGTGTTGCGCACTGAATATGAATCTGCAAAAAATAATTTTTTGTAATCGGTAATGAATAAGTTAGAAAAAGTAATGTCAAATTTAATAGTTACATGTTACCTTGAAATTTATGGGCTTTTATGAGCTGCATAACAACAATAATACGCTGGTTGTTAGAACTTAAAAGGTGAGGTATAACTTGATCAACAAATTCGCCCCAGAATGTAGCAGATAACTTGTTCCTCCTGTCCAATAGAAATAGTGTATAATGTTTAGTATATGTATTTATCAAATCTATCATTAATCAATGGTTGTCTGTTTATTCTTACTCATCATCTTCTAGTTCGATATCCATATACTTCCTACTAATTTCACCTTGTTTTTGCATTTGTACCTCACTAAAATTGACAATTTCTCTGATAACATCTAAAGAAAAAAAATGATGTTAAAATAAGTAGCATCAATCTATTACAAAAAAAAATATGTAAAATTAAATTAAAGTAAACATAAATATTACCAAATAGTTCACTCTCGTTGACATCAACTTTATTTATCAATTGATGATATGGTCGCAGATCAAAGATATTCATTGGAAATAGTGGATCAATTGTTTCAGCCACTGTTGTCCGTTGAGTAAACGTCAGCATCAATCTATGTTTTGTGGTGTTGAACATCTCCTTGTTTTGGCAGACGATAAAGTTCGCCATAAGATATAATCCAAGCTCATTAATTTTTTTGTTGAAAATATGCAAAACAGACTTGCCAATAGAAGCATGTATACGATCGCCCTACAAAGAAATTACAATACATAAAAGATAGTACAAATGTGTATAGTATAGTATTTATATTAACTTTACTTTTAAACAGTAGAGTTAAACAATTTAATTAGTGACAGTAATTCCACAAAAAATGCAGATTTGCAAGTCATGCAAATCTTTATAAAACATGCTTAAGAAAATCACCTGTTTCTAACAACGTAGACTTGAGACATCTAGCAAAGTTAACAGAAGGTTAAAGTGGACTTGACATTACTTTTATTAAAATACCATATTGAGGAATTGGATATTTTAAAATACCATTATTTTGCTCAGTCTCTGCAACAGTCAAGAGGATTTGGTAGTGAATTCAACTTCACAAGTAATAACACTAATGCTGAGGGAAATCCTTTTGAGAAATCTGTTGGAGTTGAAGATTTTGATACTGAGTTATATGATTAGGATCTTCATAAAGTTTCTTTTTCTGATTTGTTGTTGTTACCTTAAACAAAATTAAAAGCTACAACAAATACTAATATGGTCTTCTTTCCTTCAATGTGATTCCATAACCATGTCCCTGATGTACAAATAATAAATTGCGTGCGATTGTCTAAGGAAAACAACAACTAAAAATGATCCACATGTATACCTTCTGTTAAAGCCGAGCATTGGTAATAACTTAAACTAAAAATGATCCACATGTATACCTTCTGTTAAATCCGAGCATTGGTAATAACTTAAACTAAATTATAAGCTACAACAAATACTAAAAATGATCCACATGTATACCTTCTATTAAAGCCGAGCATTGGTAATAAACTTATTTTACAGTTAGAACTAAACCAAATACAAAGGATAACAGTATGGAAGAGCAAAACAAATCTATAGATATTGACATTTAAATTTCGAAGAGTACAAAGGATAACAATGTGGAAGAGCAAAACAAATCTATGGATATTGACATTTAATTTTCGAAGCGCACAAAGGAATTAGCAAGGCAATAACATAATAAAAATACCTTTTATTATATAAAGTGAACAACATCGACAACATGCTAAATCATACCTTCTTTTACAACATGCTAAATCATACTTGTTTTACAGTTAGAACTAAACAAAATACAAAGAACAACAGTATGGAAGAACAAAACAAATCTATAGATATTGACATTTAAATTTTGAATAGCACAAAGGATAACAATCTGGAAGAGCAAAACAAATCTATGGATATTGATATTTAATTTTCGAACAACACAAAGGAATTAGCAAGGCAATACCATAATAAAAATACCTTTTCATCTTGTAGAACCAATTCAATGGAGAATATAGAGCCAGGATTAAAACGATCCGGTTTTTCCCACATACGGACAACGCGAACTTTCAACTTCCATTGCATCTTTGAAATAGTTATATCCTTGATGAAATCATTGTTAGCGGCCATGTTTTGGCTAATTCGTAAGTTTTGTTTAAATCTTGGTAGAAGAACGAACATTAGAATTGAAGCAGTTGTAGGTGTGGAAGAAATATATATTTTGAGGTTTGAGCAGTTGCTACCCAGTAAAGTTAATCGTGGGTTAGACAGTTCAGCATAACATGACTTTGCAGAGAGAATTAGGGTTAATTGAAGGAAAAATTTATTTTAAAATTAAAAAAAATATAATTTAGATATATTAAGGGAAGTTTGAACGGTTTGTTTCTTTTACCCACGTTCAATTAATGCTTTTATAAAAATTTAAATTAATAAATTCAAAGGGAATCTTGAGCGGCGGTTATGGAATAATTTTGCAAAAAAATTTAAGTTTACACGGTTTGTTTCTTTTACCCACGTTCATTTAATGATTTTAAAAAAATTTAAATTAATAGATTCGAAGATAATGTTGAGCGGCGGTTTTGGAAGAATTTTACAAAAAAAATGTGAGTAAATAACTTCTATCGAAAATACCTAATGTAAGTCAGATTGTAGTTCGTTAGTTTAATTCCTAATATGTAGGAGTCATGTCCGAAGGTGCCATGTGTCGTGATTGCATTTTGCCATTTGGCTTAATGAGAGGCTTTTATCCCTTGCTTTTAATTATAGATAGATTATGTTGGATTAAATATTTAGTCTTACTTAAATTTTAAATAAATGTTTAAGCACACATCATATTACTAATCCCTGCAATGCTAATCCTTGTGTACAGTGGCAGAAGACAGAATTATCACTAAGAGGGTTAAAAAAAAAGATAAAATATTAAAAGAAAACTATGGCCAATGGACCAACAACTCACAGAGTCTTGACTCCCCTTACCACTGAGCTATGCTCTTAGACTGTGTCAAGGGAATTCAAAATATAATATATGGAGGAACAAAACAAATTTTACCTTACATTTAAAATTTTCCGGCACAGGGGTTCCGAACCCCCTTCCTGCCCCTGCTTGTATAGCTAACTAAATTAGGGATCCTACTAATATGATAAATAATTCCGTAATTATGATATTAGTAGGCTCGCTAACATAATTAGTTCAATTTATGATATGATGCTTAGGGAACTGTAGCTCCACAAATATAATTAATGCGCAACTCTTATTCTGCGAATAAGATTCCTTTTAAATGTATCGATGTAACGATCCGATCGGTCGTTTTGAGTTTTAGCGCGTTCTTCGGCGGTTTGAGGCCATGAGCGGCTTCACTTTAGGTATTATGACTTGTATACGTGGTCGAAATTGAATTTCGGGAAATTCAGAGTTGATTTGGAAAGAAAATTCTCATTTCGAAAGCGGAAAGTTGGCAGAATTGACTAAGGTTGGACTTCTGAGTAAACGACCTCGAAATCAGGATTTGAAGGTTCCCATGATGATTTTGGACTTGGGCGTATGTCCAGATCGGGTTTTGGATGACCCGAGAGTGTTTCAGCGCCTATTGTGTAAGTTAGTATTTTGGAAGAATTTCATAAGTTTGGGTTGAAGTGCGTTTCAGTGTTATCGAAGTCCATTTAGAATTCCGAGTCTGGGAATAGCTCCGTATGGTGATTTTGGTATTGGGAGCACGTTCGAAAGTCGATTTGGAGGTCCGTAGGTCATTTTGGAGTCATTTGGCGAAAGTTAGAAATTGAAGGTTTTTGAGAAGTTTGACCGGAAGTGGACTTTTTGATATCGGGGGTCGGATTCTGATTCTGGAAGTTGGAGTAGGTCCGTAATGTCGAATATGACTTGTGTGCAAATTTTGAGGTCAATCGGACGTGATTTGATAGGTTTCGGCATCGGATGAAGAAGTTTGAAATTCTAAAGTTCATTAAGCTCGAATTGGAGGACGATTCATGGTTTTAGCGTTGTTTGATGTGATTTGAGGCCTTGAACAGGTCCGCGTTGTTTTGTGGAACTGGTTGGTGTGATTGGACGGGGTCTCGGGGGCCTCGGGTGGTTCCAGGTGGTTAACGGATCGAATTGGAGTTGGGAGGAAGAGCTGAAGTCTGCTGTCATCAGGTGTAACCGCACCTGCGAGGTCTTGGCCGCAAGTGCGGAGCCGCAGAAGCGGCCAAAGGAGCGCAGATGCGGTTGAGAAGGGAGAAGGATGGGACCGCAGATGCGGTCATCTTGTTTAAATGTTTAAAGGTGATGATTTCAAAAAATATTAAAACGAGAAATTACTAGTTATTTGGTGTTGGATTGCCTGACAGTGGTGTCCGACACCATCACGACCCTTAATAGATTTTGGGTCATGACAACATGGTATCAGAGCACTAGGTTCCCTTAGGTATCACGAGTCATGAGCGAGTCTAGTAGATTCTTGCGGATCGGTACGGAGACGTTTGTACTTATCTTCGAGAGGCTACAGGGCTGTTAGGAGCACTTCCCTTCTTGATTTCTTCATCGTGCGATTTGATCCCTTTGAGGCTTATGCCTTCATTTCCTTTCCATTCAATCTTATGCGACGTGAAGCGCTGGTTATGAATCGGGGAGTGAGTAATTGTAATGGTACTACAGATGTGGTGCGGGATGTATCTCCCTGCGTGGTTGTTTGGGCTATTGTCGTCTCCTTGCGGAAGGATATTCTTTCGATTCAGTTCAGCAGTTGTACTTTTGAGAGCTTTGAGGCTATGCACATGTTGCTACGATGCTCACGAGCAGTTATCGTGTAGTATTGATGAGATGGTGGGATGCTTGCCTATGTGTCGGGCAGTGATGACTTGAAAGGAGGTTTACTAAGTGTATGATTCAGAGATCCAGTATCTTATTTCCGGTGGAGGAAAGGTAATCGAAATATAGATGATCAGGTTTGGGTGAATAGGGTAACGATACTTGGTGTTCTCCAGTGTGGTGGAATTTTTATCTGCGACGTGGTGTCGTCGTCCTCGATTGAATGTGTTAAGTTTGCCGGTGTTATGATCTTCTACAATTCGCCTTTGGGGCAGGATATTG